ATTCTGGTAGCTAATTTGAGTTTCTCTTTCCAAGACATATCACCATGTCTGCAGGAAAGGAGGCCAATAATGCCTTCCTTAGAAAACTCCAGGCTCTATTCCCAGGGGTTAATTGTTGGTTGCATAATAAATAGCCAGAGAAATACCCGTTTGTAAAATGAGTAAGGAGAATGTCTGACTACAGATAAACTAAGGAAAAGGGGGACTTCAGCAAGTGTTCCAGATTACCTGAGTGTATTTTTCATGATTGATGCTTTACTTGCATGTCTTTTGCTACTGTACCATCATATCAGTTTGCTAGCCTAACCTAGTTAATTAAAACTTTAATAACTGTATGTATATATTTTAATAGGCTTTCCATGATCACCTTGTTTCTTGCTAATCTAGCCACTTGACAAGGAGTTTTTCTTAATATGTGGAATATTTCATGCATTATTCCATCAAGCAGGCACTCATTACATATATGGAATTAATCTATCAAACCTCAGGTGAGTAAAATAATCATAGTTAAGTGCATTAGGAAGTAATTTAATAAGATTAGCAAATGAACAGTAGGGCTAGGTTCTGAAGCTTTCTGATTAGAAATGTCATGAAAGCAAAGAAATCCCCTAGAGACAATTAACTTATTACGGAATGTAACTTATGTTCTTGCCATTTGAGATGAGTCACTTAACTGCTCTGGCCCTCAGCTAAATTATACCATCTAAAGGATAGGGCTAGGCGTGGCAACTACAATGCTAGAATTACTTGATTTAGGTTATGTTTTCAATTTATGATTAGTATTATCAAAAGAAAAAGGCCTTCAGAAAATGAGGGCATAGATAGATATAGCATCTTAGAGTTTTTGGTAATGCAGACCTAAGAAAAGTAGATACCAGTCATTTCCCAACAATCAGTGGGATTGTACTGCAGAAGAATCTAAATATTCCTCAAGGAAGGATGGGAGAAATTACATTTTCAAGCAATCAGAGGAAAAAAGAAAAAGGGCAGTAAAGAAGCAGACATAAAATATGGAGAGCAGGAGGTTTATCATGGGTAGGAGAGGTTACAATGCCTAAGAAGGGTGAGAGGTTTGGGCAGGAAAGGCCTTCCCTGTCCCCTGTGGATCTGGTTCCCCTGAATGAAAGCCATGAGAGAACAAACAGGCACTGCAGGGGACAAACTCTCAGGCAGCTCCAGAAGCTGCAGACAGAGCCGCTGAGTAGATGTCGAACAGCAATGGCCATATCGGAAGATCCCCAGCCACGCTTAGCAGCCTGCTGATGACTTCTCAGAGAGTCTGTGGCCGTGGCTCAAAAGCTGGGCCGGGCCCTGGAGAGGTGGTCTGGCCACTGTCCTGTCTGCACTGAACAGCTGGCTTTTCATCTCTCCCGCTCTCTCCTCCATGCTCAGCTGTCCCCCGTGTGCTACTCAATGGTCTACATATCACATGTGGTCTCTTCAAAATACAGACCATAAAAACCCACCAGCATAAACAAAGTAGGAATACATCTAAAAGGCAGAAAGAGTATTACTAACAAAAGAGCAATATGAATGGCACAGGTGTATAAGAAGTAAAGCAAGATGGCTAAAGTGAAAGGTCCGTGGAAAGTACCAAGCAGCAAATGAGAAGAAGGACTATTAACAATGCTCCGTTAGAAACCAGAAAGAACACAGACAAAAAGCATAGGTAACAGATGATAGATTGTGAATTAACTAGTTTTTATTGTTTTTTATTTATCAAGTTAAAAAGCCACATGGGTAAGAGTAGAAACAGCATCAGTTAGTGGTGACAAAAGCCAACAATACACACAAGATGCTATGAAAGGAACCCACAGGTCTAGACCCGTTCCATCCCCTCCATCCAGATTCCTGGCAATGAACAAAGGAATTTCCCAAATACAGTATTTAGAATTTCGAAGAGTAAAGAATGTTTCAGAAGATAAGAGATTCTAAAACATAAAAAGAAACCAACTTAATAGTTTTTATAACAGAAATATGGCACAGGTGTATAAGAAGTAAAGCAAGATGGCTAAAGTGAAAGGTCCGTGGAAAGTACCAAGCAGCAAATGAGAAGAAGGACTATTAACAATGCTCCGTTAGAAACCAGAAAGAACACAGACAAAAAGCATAGGTAACAGATGATAGATTGTGAATTAACTAGTTTTTATTGTTTTTTATTTATCAAGTTAAAAAGCCACATGGGTAAGAGTAGAAACAGCATCAGTTAGTGGTGACAAAAGCCAACAATACACACAAGATGCTATGAAAGGAACCCACAGGTCTAGACCCGTTCCATCCCCTCCATCCAGATTCCTGGCAATGAACAAAGGAATTTCCCAAATACAGTATTTAGAATTTCGAAGAGTAAAGAATGTTTCAGAAGATAAGAGATTCTAAAACATAAAAAGAAACCAACTTAATAGTTTTTTTTATAACAGAAAAGAAAACGTATTCTATACACTATAGACTCACATGCAACTATAAACTTATAGTAAGCACATTTTAAGAAGAAATAAAATTAATGTTGATGATATATTTTAATTAATTCAATGTGTTCAAAATACTTTACATTTACAGTGTAAATAAATGAGACATTTTTAATTCTTTTTTGATAATGCTCACAATTTGATTTATATCCTATTTTAAAACATCTCAATTCAGATATTATATTTGTATTTAATATAATTATCAATTATATTTTATAGAATTTATAGTGGCAAAGAAGGACTCAAATACCAAAGTGGTTTCAAATGTGCTTAAAAGTTTTCCATCAGGCCAGGGATTTAGCTCAGTGGTTCCACGGCCTGCCTTGCGTGTTCAAGGACCTGAGTTTGATCCCTGGTACCCCCCCCCAAAAAAAATAAGTTTCCCAACAAATTAATCAAGTAATGAAAAATTATGCGCCTTTAATATCAAATCTATGTTGACAGCACTGGTTCTTTAACAGAACTGATTTTACTTTGAAGCAAAGTGTATCAATTTCAAAGCTACATCTGCCAAAATTAAATAAATTCATTAAATCTTTTATCAGTTCCATATTACTAATATGTATTATATAAAGCAAAAAGTAATTCTGTTATCAATATTGAGAGTTTTTCAAATTTTTCTTGTGATTTTTCAAAGTTTGATGCAATTGATCTCTAAAACTGTTACAAAAGAATTCTATGGGCAAGTTTTTGCAAAATTTGTTGCCTAGTATAAAAAATGATGTTAATAATTTAAAACTATGAAGAAACTGAGAAGGAAATTAGAAGAGAGAAGAAAACATGTATGACTGGAATGGACTATTGGACATTTCACAGAGATAGTTCATGAGAGTTGCCTGACCTTTGTGATCATTTACTCCATTTTGAAGTCTTACATTTGACCAAGAGCCCTTCTTTTCTTTGATGGCGTGGCTCCCTGGATATGCGCACATGTGTTTTCTATATGCGACTGCACTTTCTGAAATTCTTCTCTGATTCACTATGTATGGTGCGATGGTTTAGTCCTGACTGTCCACTTGAGTGGATGGGGGAGCTTCCAGGAAGTTAGCAACATCTGCTTCTGGGTGTGCCTGTGAAGGTGTTTCCACAGGAGATCGGCCTGTGGAACAGCCAACTGTCAGCCCGCCCTGTCCTGCTTGTGCATGCTGGTGAGGAGGTGCTGATCTGGGCAGAACAGAAGCAGGAGAGAGCCCAGTAGCGCTGGCTCTCAGGGTCTGCATATGTCTGCTTCTGACCACCACGAGGTGAGCAGCTTGTCTCCCTGGAGTCTTCTCCAGCCTAATGAGAACTAGAACTTCTGCAGGTGTGAATTAAAATGATTCCTCCTATGAACTGACTTTTCAGGCCTTTTGGGATAGCACCAAACAGCCGACTGACACCGACTGACACCCACAGAGACGTGAGCATCCCCTATTGGTTTCCTCTCTGCTGTGCCGTGTTCTCTCTGTCTTACTGGGCATGCCGAGTAACACTGTTGCTCAAGTATCTTTCTGACCCTACCATGTTCATATATTTTTTAGAACCAGCTGTCTTTTTCAGGCAAATGCAACTTTAATTTCTTAAAAGCTTCTGGAATTGCATCAACTGAAGAAATACTAAAGTAGACAAATGACACATTTTAGGTTGGAGTGCACGTTGCTGCCCTGCCTGGTGGTGCTTGCTTGAATTTGCTGACAGACTCATTAAGCTGAGCGGGAAAAGCAAGCTTATTGATCATACCTCAAAATTCAGTTTGGGAATCCTTGATTCCTGCTAACTTCAAATCTCTCCTGATGGTATGGGGAATCATTTGAAATCTGTCTTTTTCTGCAAAGTCCACCAAATCCTCCAATAACTGTCTATAAACTATTTCACTTTTTCCATCTAGTAATATATAAATGAACAGATACATTCTGGAATTGTCAGGGTTAGCACAGACATGAACTGCATACATTTGATTTAAAAAGCAGTGGTAACCAGTTTGAAAGTGTCATCCATCAGCTGAACAGAAACATGGACTAGAACGCTTACTTTAGATTTCATGGTAAATATAAGAAGCCTAACTTCGTCAATTGTCAAACGTATAAGCATTTGAAGGAGCTATGCAGCCCTGGAAGCATCTCTGTATCAGCAAATGCCTGGTTTAGAAGATGCTGATCTTTGAATTCGGTCTCTTCTCTGCTGAGGGGCATGTTTCGAAGGTAGATAAGATTCCATGAGCGAGAGTGCAGACCCAGTATGTGACTGAATAACAAGTGTAGTTCATGCACCACCAACGCTGGACCAATCCTGCCTTCACCTTTCTACCCCCTTACCTAGCCTGTCCCCCACCCCACCCCGTTCCAGGGAACTTGGCTTTTAGAATTTCAGTGTCCAGGATTTCAACATTCAGGATTTTAATCTTTAAAATTGAGATTGTCGAGATAATGATCTTTGAGGATTTTATACTTTAGGGATTTTAGTCTTTTGGGAGTTCAACATTCAGGATTATGATATTCAAGACTGCACTTTTTGGAAGTTTGATTGGCACCTTTTAAATAGGTGGAAACTTACCCGTTAGTATTCCACCTTTCATTCTCTTCCTGGCTCTTTGTATTGGTGCTAAAAGGCAAGGAAAGAATGAAGAATCCTGAACTTCTCACTCTTCTCTCTCTGGGCAAGCTACAAATATTCATTATGCATGAATAACATGCCTTTCTGGATTGCATTAATTAAGAGTGTTTTTCTTTCTTGTTATTCCCCTTTTAAGGTGGATAAAATAATTTCCCATTCTTCTCTCCCTGGAAAATCTCAAGTTGCCAAGATTTCCCCTTTGAGATCCCCATTTGATATTTCTACCAGTGGTCTCCACTAAAGCAAGGCAGAGGCCAGGAACATCTGGCTACATTTGATTTGATCCCACTCCGAGCACAGACGGAGTAGTGTGGGTCACAGATTCAGCAATCCCCGTTAGTTAGGTCAGCCCTAAGGTACGGGAGGACTGGCTCAGAGAGAGCCGGGAAAGGGAGCCGATGCACAGCATTGAGAAACTGCTTCCACAGGGGCCCCAGAAGCTCTTGGTAAGTCAGTGCACCGTCTCTGAACAGCAGTATTTAAGATCTACCAGAGCCCTGCACTGTTTCCATGGACAGTGCCTTTTCCTTCTCCTCACATGGGGAAAAAAGTCAGGCAGCTTTCCTCGTGCTCTGAAACAAGGACACTAATCCATTCATAGGGCTCTGCCTTCATCACACGGTGACTTTCCAAAAGAAATCCACCCAATACCATGGCCTCGGGTAAAGATTTTGACCTAGGAATTGTGGGAGGGTGCGTATATTCAGAGGACAGCAAGCTGACACTTTGAACTTTGCTGCACCCCAATCCACTCTCCCTCCAATGAAAGTCACATTTGTATTCAGAGAAGTCCCTCTGCATATTTTATGGCTTCTGGCATTGAATAGTGTGGAGAAAGGACATTGCTGGGCAGGGAAATTTACATCAGAGAATAATCCTTTCTGGAGGCAATGCACAGTGCAATATTCAGAAGGAAAAGATTGTGATGTATGTAACTGAGTTTCAGAAGTTTCAGACAAAGTCTGCATACATGGAAAGCACAACTGGGCCAAACTATCAACCAGGGGAGAATCTGCGTAAAGAGTGTCAGTGTCGGGGTGTCTCCCTAGCTCCTGCAGCTCTTCTCAGTCTCACATTGCTTTCTGATAAGAGATTCTAAGAAATGTCCCGAGCGAGGAGGGCAGTCCTTCGAGTTCCACTCCCTCGGTGATGAGCGAGGAAACTGCTCTATCTGACTATTCTTAATCCAAATGCATTTCTAACATTGTCAAAAAAGGTTTGAAATAATTGGAAGAAAGCCCAAATAAAAAGAAATGAAATCAAGATAAATATTGCATATACAAAGAATCATATTTGCATCACAGTTCCAAACTCCTGCTCTGTGGCCCAGCAGCTCCAGCTCAGGAGATGCCATTCTACCACTTTCCTTTTCAGCCTGTTTATATAGAATGTGGAATAAAAATCCTGGTCACAGGACAAATGTGTTTTTATTGGGATTAAGAATAATTATCATTATGAATACATATAGGGCTGGGGATTTAGCTCAGTGGTTCGGTGGCCTGCCTTGCAAGTGCAAGGACCCGAGTTCAATCCCCGGCACCAAAAAAAAAGAATACATATAGATTCAGTAGGAGCTTTTTACTGGACCTGAAATTATTTATGCAAAAGTTCATAGTTTTTCTGGGTGAGTCTACCATAGGGCTTTACTCAGAATTCCAGGAGGGACAAACAAGACTGTAGATTAATTCTCCTTGCTAAGACCCAGTACTTCTCTCTGCATATGTTCACAAATTAACAGCAAGCACCCTGGGCTGGGGCTGTTGTTCTGCACCTATTAGAGTGCTTGCCCCGCATGCACAAGGCCTTGGGTTTGATCCTCAACACCAGAAGGAAAAACTCATTCCTACTCCACAGAGCTGATCTGCTAAGAACTATCCACAAGCCTGACTTCACCTCATTTCAGCCCTTTCTTTCGAGGCTGATCCTTTCACCCCAAGCTCTCCCTTTCCTTTGCCTCTGCACCCTACCTTCCACTGCCTGGGCAGTGCATCTACCTAAGTTCTACTTTTCTTCCAGGTTTTCTACACTGAGATGAACCTGCCCCCATTAGCTTTTCCCACACATTGCATCGCTTGGACTTGTGATCCATCTCCCTTTGTCCCTTCTTCTTGATCATCGCCTCTTGGAAAGTCAATTTTTAATTGCTGTGTTCTACTAATCAGAAAAGCTTATTTTCAGCATCCTTCAGAAAAGGAGCAAATGCTCAGATGCAGGAGACTCCAACTTTGCCTGTGTGTGTGAATCTGGAGAGAGTGCTAGTCCATGAGGGCGTGACCTGAGTTTGACTTCTAGCTTGTTGGCTCTGGGGAGAAATTCCTAACCGAAGCAATGGGATTTTCCAAATTGAAAGCTAAGACAAGGAAACATAAGGCTCTATCAAAGAGCTCAACACTAAATTTTACTGAATGACATTAAAAAGTGAAGAATACAAAGGTTTTGACACTTGGCATATGTAGTTACAAATACACATCAAAATATAGACATGTTTTTAGAGACTTTTCTTTTTACAGCAATCTTATTTTTGGTCTCAAATCCAATTTTTTCCAGGTGTTACTTTTAAGAAATCATATGCAGACAGCATGTTAGGGCTTTCATGAAACAAAATCTCGCTTCTCTATTTGAGAACCAAGAAAATCGCCCCAAATCAAAACATAACTGGAAAAAAGTATGATCACTAATATTTCTGTTGTCTGGTTCCATTTTCCCAAACAGAAAATAAATAATCAACTTTTTTTCCAAGAGGTAAGATAAGGGATTTTAAAGAGGGAACAGGAATTACAAAAATGCACATTAAACCCTGAAAAGGATCTAAGGAGAAAATGAGTTTAACTCTGTTTTATATAAGATACTGAGGCCCCTGGAAGGTTTGCTGGAGGTTCCTTAGCTGATGACCACACACCCAGGCCTTTGTTGGTCTCCTGGCTCTAGAACTGACCTGACTCATGGCCCTGCTCATCTCCCCTTCTTTCTGACCCTTGGAAGCCTCTCCAGAGTTTTCTAGATAGGTGCTTTCAGAGTAAGAGCTTGAAGTCATTCTTACTGCCTTCCTGTTTCTTCCTTCTGGATACTAAGATTCATTTCAGCCATAATGGAAAAGCAACATTATTCTTCACTGAAATACAATGTAATCACATTTACACCTTTTTTTTTTTTTCTTTTCTTTTACTCAACAACTTTTGAACCACTACTGGATGAGAGGAACTAAGTAGATGCTTGGGATGTAAAGGAGAGCAGGATAAGGCTCCTGCCAGGGGCATACAGCTCTGTCTTCCCTGGGTTATTTCTCCTATTCCATACCTGCGCTGCTTTAGTTCTTCTCTATTTTACTACATGAGATGGACACGATCTAGCTAAGACAAGATGACATTGGTTTACTATTACTTATTATCTGTCCACCTATCCATCAGCCTAGTCATCCATCCGCCTACCCATCTTGAGCTGAACATACGTTCTGTTGCCTAGGATGCAAACTTATCTGGTTTATTATTTAGCTGGGTATAGGCATGTTCAATTACATCACTCTTTCTTATAATGAATGGTCTTTTGTCCAGAAGATAAATACTTTTGAGTTGTATAAAACAAGAATGTACCAAGCAGTGATTTTTACTCTTGTCCCTCCAGGGATGATTACTGTGTTAAGGTTCTTCCTCTATCATTTCTTAAAGCTATAAAGTGGCATTTAAAAAAAGCTCCATATAATCAAATCTCAAAATACCAGAAAAGAACTAGTAAACCTCTAGAAACTTGAGTCTTCACATTCTTAATGGTTGGTCTCTTAAGGAACAGCTTGGAGACTCACCTGCTGTCAGGATGCCATCTTCTCACTTGATTTGATAGGTCCTTGAAAACTCTCAGATTCTTCCTTTGTGGAGATTTTTCTCATAGTTTCTCAATACCACGTTTTAACTCAAGGGGAACTGAAAAGAAGGGCTGTTATCTTTGTTAAAATACAGAAGCATCACTGAGGGGGAGAGGCACTGAAATGAAGGGCACAGTCCTGTTAAAATTTTGAGCTGCGCTGGAACACATCCTAAAATGATTAAATTGTCTGTTCTGGTTATAAATCTTAAGCTTGGTAGTTTAAGCTAACTTCCATTGACTAATAAAATGGAAATATTAGGGTAGGCCAGATCCTGGGTTTCTGTGACCTGCTCTTTAAGGATTGTGATGGGAAACATTCAGTACAACTGACAGTGAACAAACGTTAGATTTAAAAAGTGCCTGGAGGGTGTGTGATTCACAATAATTATGGAATCTGTTTCTGCCTCCATATAAAGACTACTAATAAATTATGAGCACATGAAATGAAGCTGCTGATACAGTAATAAATATTGATTCACAACAAAGTTCAGAATATCTCTTCTTGCAGATTGAATCATGCAGTCCAGGCTGGCGACTCTCTGTTATTCAGATTTTAATAAGGAGAAATGTCTTTATTTTTTTAGATCTAACAACAAAAAGTTCTATATCCATCTAATAATAAAGCATTACTATTAAGATGAATCCTTTGGATGACAAGATTTTGTATAATGCTAAATTTCCAAAATGATCAAATAATCTGTATCTCTAAGCTATCAGATAACCGCAAAAAAAGAGCTTATTTGCATACTCACTGTCTCATATAAGCAACAAGATTTAATAACTTTTTTTCACTTTCCTTCATTAAATATTAACACCTGATCTTTCATTTTCAGCTGATTATATGTATTCTTGATCTTTGTTCTCATGCCCAAAACACTCTTGTTATGAAAATCATGAGGGAAGAAAAGCAATTTCTTTGTGATTGACTTTGCTTTTCACTATATGCTGCAAATGTGGAAGTTGATGTAAAATAAAAGGATCGCCCATGTGGAAACTAAAAAACCTGGGCTTTAGTTGAATTCATGCCTCATGTTAGTGTGAGATCCTGGAAAATTCCAGTACCGTCTTTGCGCTACTGTATTTTCATACAAGAAGTGGTAACACTGACCTAGAAGATCCCTATGATCTCTGTAAGCACAACTTTATGGCCGTAAAGTAGGACTTGCGAGCCATACCTTTGCACCTCCAAGAACATAGATGAGTTTCAGTCAATTGTGTCTTTGACTTTTGTGATATTTATATTTTTTTTATGCATGACTTCCAAGAGAAAACCAAATCAGAGCAGAATGTGCTCTAGCTAATTCATCTAGGTTTTCACTTGCTCTTCAGTTAACCCAGTACAAAAGAGGGATTTTTGAGTCAGCTCCACAGACTCCAGCCCCTCCTCTTCCAATCATCCTGAATTACACAAGGCTATTTTTCTTTGACACAGTTTCCTATTTTCCACTTTCCTCTAAAGTTGGAGTCTCTAAATTAGCATTGTAGAAGTCACTTACATAGGCGATTCTCAGTCATGAGATAGGTAGGTACCTGCAGAGGATGGTAAAGCTCTCAGGCTGCAATCCCGGAGAGTATGATGGAGTTGGCTTGGAGTGACACCGATTTTGCAGATTAAAATTTCCTTCAGAAGGCCTCCCATTTCTCGACCCGCCCAAAAGGACCTCTCCCGGAGGCCATGAGAGGGTCCTGTGGATGCAGATCCATGGGGCAGAGGCACCTGGGTACAAATAATGTTGAAAGAGTCCCAGACAGTTTAGCAGGGTTCATAACCATCCCATCAGGAAAGCCCCTCAGATGCCCCACTTCTCAGGGCTCCTGTGGAGGAGCCCGAATCATGGCTGCCCCAGGACTTTCTACCGCTCGCTGCCATTCGCTTGCCCACAGTGTCCATGTTTTTCCTCATTGTCCTTTGAGGCTACCACTGTGCATGACAGTTTCTGAGCATGTTTCATAATGGAACCACTGTCACTTATTAAATGTATTCTTGGATTGAAAAATTATTCATAGTTTTTGGCTTTATAAACCCAAAATGATGTTGAGCTTCTCTGTGGCTCTGTTCTGCCTAAAATCATCGTCTTTAATTACAGCCTATTAATGAGGCTTCTGGGACAGACGGTCAGCTTAGAGTAGACAAGGACCGTCACTGTTCATGACTGCCTGCCTGGTTCCTGTCCTCATCAGACACACAGAGGCACTGAATAAATTACTGTGGGATGGACAATTTAATGAAAGAGCAAATCACTTAATAAGTGCATAAAAGCCCACGTGAATATGATCCTCTTCATGGAAAGCCAGAGTCCTTCCCAATTATCAAAGCACAGCCTCCTCGAGGTGGTGTGCGTGGCGTGCATAACGCCGTGTGGAATCTTCCCTCTGTTGCACATGTGCATGCGATGTGCATACGTGTGAGTTCACAATTACTATCCGCATCTGTAAGAAGATCCAAAAGTTGCTGAGTACTCGAACGGATCCCCTGTGTCTCAGCTCAGCACAGCTGTGAGCTCGGCTCTCCATGGCGATGGTCCTGGGAAACTCGGTATTAATACTGAGCGAACAGATGGTGCAGGGTGTGTTACTTAAGGCAGTTTTGCCAGGAGGTAAATTTATGCTTTATAAACGCACTTCAAAACTATGCTATTTGATTTAATCACTTAATGCAAAGACAGCTGCATACTATATTTGCCTTAACTGCAGTTATATGGGTTATCTGCCAATCTGTTAATTACAGTATTTTGAAAGACTTCAGGAAAAAAACAGTAATTATACAGATTGGGGAGGGGGGTAGGAACATTTTTGAAGCCTAAATTCAGACGTTCATTCCCAGCTCACATAAACTTATTGAAGATTTAGAAAACCTGTTAAGAAAGTGGGAGTAGATGCGATGGCTTTCTTTTTCGAGAGGCTCCTGCGTTCCCTCTCCCTCAGTTGCTGGGGTAACTACAGGCAGGAGGGAGCCCGCAGTGTTCCCACACACAAAGCTCAGCCTCTGGGGAAGGTCTTCCAGGACTGCTCAATTTCTTACAATTAAAAGAGGTAAATGTTCAAACATGCCTTTGACTTTCTCATATTTCTTATGTACCCTGCTTGGTCCCTGAGCCCTCTGTACATAAGATTTCTCTGCTAAACAGTTGCAGTAATTATTAAGCAGATTTAATTAATACTATATCAAGGAAGGGGAATACATTAAGGTTAGTCTGACAGCTTCCTTTTCTTGCCAAAGACTAAATGCTACCTACTTGTAGGAAAAGTCATGCCCATTTCCTCTACCCCCTGGGAATTCATGTTCAATGAATTTCATTGTCATTTTGAGAACCAGATTTCCTGTCTGTAGCAATACCAGGATAAAAGGGTTGAATAGGCCCCAGGTTATTTGTTAATGAAAGAACTCTAGAAACAACATTACAGATTACCTGGTCAAAGTCTTTCATCTCACCAGTGAAAAATGAAGAACTTGAATTCTTAACTGATTTGCCTTCTCAAATTAGTTAACAAAAAGAAGACAAAGTGGAAACTTTGGGACCTTCTTCTATCCACCTTATGCCTTTTCACATGCCTTACACAACGGAAATGAAACAGAAGGGCCACTGAGTTTCTGTTCTGGCTCCAGTCTGATGTAACTGTCTGGAGCTGCGAGTGAGAATACCAATGACCTCAGCCTTGCTCACGAACAGCACTGTGCCTCCACTTCCTACAGCATCCAGTGCCCTCCCTCCACACTGGGAACAATGGCCCTGGGGTTGAGCCTCAAAGCCTGAATGGTCATAAGCTCCCCACTACGCACTAGGCACTGCATTAGGTACTTTGCAAAAATCATCTCAATTAAAACCTCCAGCAGTCTGTCATGCAGACATCTCAGACATTTTACAGAGAGGGCCACTAGTTTCCAGAGGCCGAGTAATTTGCTTAAAGTTACCACATTCAGACTTAGACCTACAGAATCAAAGGACGCTGACCTGTTAAGAAAGTACTTGGTTTTTTCGGATTCTTTCTTCAAAACTGACTAAAACACTTGTGGCTCAGTACTCCAAGGCTATCTTCTGCATGGAAATTCATCTGAAGAATATCTCACCTTCATAACAGGCTTCACACAATGTTCAACAAATCTCAGCTGATAAACTGGAGTTCATAGCTCAGGTCCTTAGAACAACTCCCCAGTCTTCACTTCCTTCTTCACAGGAAGTGACCATTTCTAGTGCTCTGGGGACTCTGACACACAGATGCCCATCTGCTGGACAGGAGTAACTAACTCCTGTCTGAGCCAGCAAACAAGGGTAATGCTAAGGTTGGGAAGTAGAAGGGGAGTTAGAGGAACAGCTTTGGCTTTTGATCCTTCTCAAGGAATACTGAGGTGATTATCATGCTGGATCTATGGAGGGTTTGGGAAGTACTCACATTTTAAGTGGTCCCTCGTATTTCCATCTCTTGACACTGTGATGCAATTAAAAAATACAGTGGATGTTAGAACATTTTTTTGCAAAATATTTACAATTAAAGGCATTCCTATCAATCTACCTAAAAATTCTCCCCCTCACTTTGAACATGCGTATGCCATCAGTTGTGCCACTCTCTGAAGCAGTCTGGAAGTCCTCTTTCATACATTTAGTTGCACTGTTTTGGCTGCCTCCATGTCCAGAAACGATCCGAACAATTTACTTTTCATGATCGTTCTGACTTTGGGGAAGAGTCAGAAGTGCATGGTGCCAGATCTGGTGAATAAGGTGGGTGAGGACGCACTGCAATGTTTTATGAGCCCGCCTTTTAGTTGGATGGCACTGGGCAGCATTCACCTCCTAAAGACACTCACAAATAAGCATTTCCAGAGCTGCTTCAGAAAGTTGCAAGAAGAATGGAATAAGTGTGTTCAAAGTAAGGCACAGTATTTTAAGAAGGGTTAATGGCAATGTGTCTTTTATTCAAGAACATTTTTTTAATTTGAGTAGCCACTATAAATTAGATCATCATGACAGTGGCGAACTCTGAATCCTTGTATCTCTGTGCTAGGGATTTTTATACAACAAAGCATTTTAATCTTAAATGTATGTCTACTTTTGATCATGATTTTCATAAATTATGGCAATATTTTGAATCAGGATTCTTTGGCTAGTTGTTTTTTTGTTTCTTGGATTTTTTTATGACATTTTTCTAGTAGTCCTAGTTTTTTTAAATGCATTAGTTATCTTTGAGGGAATCTGGTTTATCCTCTACAGGTGAATTAAAGAATGTTCATACCTTAGAAGCCAGTCTTCCAACATGGGAGGAATTTTTTCTGGTTTATACTGAAGTTCTTTATGGCACAGGGTTGAGTGTGTGTGTGTGTGTGTGTGTGTGTGTGTGTGTGTGTCTGTGTCTGTGTTTGGGCATGCACACATCATATTCCTTTATGGTGTAAAACAGCTTTCAGAGATGTGTCATAGCCAAATTACCCATTTCTGATGTTCAAAAGAAGGCCTTGCTTTAGGAGTCATGACAGCTGGGGAATTCCAGCTGTTTAGTGTTTTGCAGCCCTACATGCAAATCTAAGTGTCTCCCAGCACCCTCATTCAACCAGGACTGAATTTGCTAATCCTTTCTTGCACAAAGTGATTTAGAATTTCTTTAAAAAAAAAACAAACCCAAACTCTACTGTCATCAAATAAAAATCTGCATCTGCCTGTAATTATCCTTGTTTCTGAAGAGTGATTAATGAAACAAAAGATAGCCAACTTTACCCCATCATCAAACCAGTAGAAAGCTCTCTGTATACATCCTGTCTTTTATTTCATTTACAAAAACAGGCTACTTGTGTTGTATCAGTTTTCTGTTGCTGTGACAAAACATTAGAGAAAAACAGTTTAAAGGAGGAAAGGTTTACTTTTACTCACATGTTCAGATTTCAGTCGAGGGCCAGCTGGTTCCATTGCTTTTCGACCTGTGGTGAGGCAGAAACATCAGTGCGCAAGGGTGGGGTGCAGGAGAGCGGCTCATTTCATGGCAGCCAGGAAGCAGAGGGAGAGGGAGAGAGCTGGAGACAAGTGGACCAGAGCTAGTTACACTCCCCAAGGTCTCGCTTCTTTGGCCTGTTCCCTTTAAGTGGGCCTCACCTCCTCTGACTTCATCACTTTTCAATAACGTTATCAAATTATAAATCCTTCAGTGGATTAATCTACTGACAAAGTTAGAGTACTCATGCTCCAGTTGCCTTTGAAAAGCCCTGCTTTGATCCCATGAGCCTTTAGGGGGACATTTTGTATTCAAATCATGATAGTTATTTTTTAAAGGTGAGATGAAACATCCCTTCATTCAAATAAACTCAGTTGAACTTCGATAAATATAGCAAAGACAATTTAATAGAGAAAGGATAGTGTTTTAACAAATAGAATCAGAACCATTAGACATCCATATATGAAAATAGGAAACTAGACAGAAACTTTACGCTTTTCCCAAAAATAAATTCAAAATGGATCATAATCCTAACTGTAAAAGGCAAAACCATGAAAATTTTACAAAATAACACAGAAGACCATTTTGGTGAGTTTGTCAATGTATTTTCAGAAATAACAGAAAAGATTTGAGAAAATGCTAGAAAGAAATGAAAAATGGGCTTTACTAAAAATAAAATTTCTGCTTTGTGAGAGACACTACTAAGAGAATGGAAAAACAAGCTACTGACTGGAAGAAAATATTTGTACAATATATATACCTGATAAAGGACTTTTATCTAGAATACGCAAAGAGCATTTTAAATACAATAAACAAAAATATTGAATTTCAAAATGTGCAAAGAGTCTTGGTAATGAAGAGATACATGTGGCAAATTAACAGATTTAAAACAAAACAACATCACATACCATTAAGGAAATTGCTCTTACAATAACAATGATATACCAGTACTCACCTACTAGAATTATGAAAACCCAAAGGACTGACACTGCCATGCGGCCTGACATACAAAGCAGCAGGAACATTCTATTCCAGCAGGAGTTACCACTTTGAGAGAAAGTGGCAATTTCTTACAAAACTGAGCATACTTTTATGCTTAATCTGGAACTCATATGTCTAGGTTCTTAGTTGAGAAAAACCTGCACAGTATTTAGCAGATTTATTTGAAATTGCCAAAAACTGAAAGCAACCAAAACATTCTTCTTTGAGTGAATAGACAAACAAACCAAAAACACAGGAACCTGAAAATGCCTTTTATTAAGTGAAAGAAGCCAGTCTGGGGAGGCCACATTCTGCATAATTCCAATCACATGACATTCATGAGAAAGAAAAAATACAGAAAAGTATTTTCTAGGTTGATTAAACTATTATTTATGATGACACACTATAGGTATCGACACACTAATGGTATTGTGGACTTATTAAACCCACGAGACTATCCAACATAAAAAGTGAACTTACGTGTGTTTGTGGTTCAAGAACTGAACCCAGGGCTTTGTGCTAATGTTCAATCCCAGTGATTTCTTTGGTTTGTTTTATTTTTCGTTTTAGATAGAATCTTTTTTTTTTTTTTTTTTTTTTTTTTTTTTT